CCCCTAATTTTGGGAAACCCCTTTTGGTATGGTCAGAGAGTCGCTTTGGGCTGCAGCTTCAGGAATTTTTCAGGCAAGGCACTGTAGGCGTTGCCATGGCTTTGCCAAATCCTGTGATTGAAATTCTTAAGGAAATCCATTACTGCTAAGGTGAGGACTACGACTTCTCGAAAATCTGCGGCGCGTGAGCTCGTGAGCTGTGCTGCTCTTAGTTCAGTGGGCTTGCAGTCAGAATGTTCACTGTAAAATGGATTTGTGAGCCCTTGCTACGTGGCTTCCCTTGCATGATGTCAACTTTGTCGGGCCATTCCCATGCAAATGAAGTTGTTCGACATTGCTCTTGTCGGAGCAGGTACAAACACCGAAAAGCATGCAGCTGAATCGAGAGGTGTTGTCCACAGGTTAGGGCATCATTACATCTCAGTTCAAGCTGCAACAAGCTTTCGTGTTGTGTGAGGAGCTAACTTAACCCTAAACCCTGAGCCTTAAACCTTAACCCTAAGCCATAAACTTTAAATAGCTCAACCCACTCTTAGGCTCCAATCTGTTAGAGGCGGCCTCCTGCTCCAAAGTTGATGCACAGGCAGGGAACGAAGTTGGGATGTTGTCAACATGTCCGCGTTTCTGTCTAGCAACGGGTGCTCCTATTTGGCAAATCTAGGGATCCAAATAGCCCGAGTAAGTAATATTTGCAGACTTTAGGGTCCACAGTAGCCCTTTTTATGTAGTTGGATCCCCAGGGAAGCTTCAGGCGTTTTAAATGTATCCAGAAGGCATGGGCCGGAGGCTGACGCGGCCTGCACACATTGTCTGAAAGCCTCCATGACGCATGCACATGATACGGCGTCTTACCCATTCTTCCACTTAAAGCTGTTGCCGATTTCACACTTCTCAAACTTTCCTCTCTCATGTTGGGTCAAATACTGTATCAAGGTAACTTGCAGGTGTAGGGGTCTCCCTTATACACCAACGACGGAAAAGGGCATATACTGAGGGGTCAAAGTACTCGTGCGGGAACCACTTTGGGTCCTAGGTGCATACTACATACCTGCATGGGGCCTTTGACAAGCCCTTGCTTGTTGTGTTGTAGCACCTTGGATTGCGAATTCCCATGTCGGATTACTTCGCCAGCCGGGAGGCAGGATGGATGATGAGCACATGATATAAGGTTTAGAGTTAGGTTTTCATGTGGTTGTTGGTAATTACTAATACTTCATCACAAACTAAGTTCAATCTGAAAACTTTAGGGCGGCCATTATTTCGCGTCGCAATGCGCCCGCCAAATGACTTCGATTGTGAGTGTTCACGTGAAGCACGCTCAAACCCTAAACCATAACCCTCAAAATCTGTAGGTAACACGGTACTCACCATGTGATCTGCTTAATGCAACCTTCTTCGTGTGCGCGACAGCAAATCAAGCTACCAAGTTCTCTTCAATGGCATTCAAAGGGCATTCTCCCAGTACTCTTCGCGAGCCTCAGTGCTCCAAATATCCCCATGTATGTTTTTCAATTTTTTGCGGGTTAAGGATGGATAGAGAGCACCCGGCAATGTAAAGGAATAACAGATATCCTGAAACGTACCGACTGCAAGTATGGCCAGCAACTGGCCTTCACTACGCATCAAGACACCGAAGCCAGACGGGGTATTTCAAAAAGATGGGCTCCACCCTTTGACAACCCATTTCAGAATTACTGCCGTTAAAAAAGAGCCCCCCAAGAAGGGATCCCTGACCTAAGGGTCCAAGGACCCAAA